GAGTTTTTCTGAAGCTCTTTCAGAGCTCCTCTGTCCCTCTTTTTTGCAGAGGATGGATGGCCCTGGCCAGGGGAAGTCACGCTGTTGGCATTGTCACTACAACAGCCCTGTTGTCTTGGGCAAGAAGCTTGGTCATAAAAGCAGGCTTGAACCTCTGGCTGGAAGCAGAGTAGGAGAACAGGGCACAGGACCAAAAGCATCCTGTCTCACCAAGCTCAGTATCTCCCATCAGTGGCAGGCAAACCACCTCCTCCCTCTCACGGAGGAAGTTAATCTTGAAGTTTATCTTGCCAAGCTTATCTTGAGGCCAGCTGGGTCACAGACTGCTGGAAGACTATTCCCAAAGCTGCCCTGTCCAGATGAGAATCTTCCTCGTGTCCAGCCCACGTTCACTCATGTCCAGTTTGCACCCATCTGAGTGCCCTCTTTGTACCACTGTGCACCACCCCGGCAGCGCTTCCCTGCCATCCTGCCCGTGGGTGGGTGTGGCTGTGGGTGCCCGTGCTGTGACTGAGGCAGTGCCACAGTGGGGAGTGTTAATCTCTCCCTGTCTGCACTGATAATGTCCTCCCTGTTAAACCTCAGCCCACCTCTGACTTGTTCTCTCCACTGGGTCACTGCTGAGCTTTGTGCTGTCAGCACTTAGTTATTATGGCCTTTTTTGGCCACCCGAGCCCGAACCCGGTCTGACAAAACCATACAGAAAAGAATGCCACTGGACTAAATAGTTAATTAATTGCTCTGGTCAGTTTGTGGGATCACAGAATCATTTAGGTTGGAAAAGATCTCCAAGACCATCGAGTCCACCTTGTGCCCAATGCCCACCTTGTCCCCCAGCCCAGAGCACTGAGTGCCATGTCCGGTCCTTCCTTGGAATGGGCACTCCAAACCTCCCTGGGCAGCCCCTGCCAAGGCCTGACCACCCTTTCCAGCAAGAAATTCCTCCTCCTGGCCAACCTGAGCCTCCCCTGGTGCCACCTGAAGCCATTTGCTCTTGTCCTGTCCAGTTCTTTCACTGTTCTGACTAGTCCCTTGCATTGAGCATGTTTGAATCTTTGAGTTTCTTTCTGCCTGTTATTTGGTGAAAATACAATCCAGAAATTTTCCTTTTCCATATACAGAGCACACATCCACATTGTGTAGTTGCTATCCTCCTCTTACTTACCTGGAAAAAGAAACTGTTATTATTTATTTTTAGTCTTGGAAAACCCAGCTTGGCTGGATTTTGAGGCTTTCTGAATTTATCTCTGTGTTTTTGACATTCCAAGCCATCCCACAGCCCGACTGTTTTGCTGTGTGGGGTCACACTGCTCAAGAACTGGAAGGGCCTGACGTGCTCCAGAAAGACAACCACATAATTATGGGGTGGCCAGGCTGAGAGAGTTGCCCACACAGGGTGAAGCCACACTGCCAGACCAGAAACTCTGCTTGCAAAGAGGCCAAACCACTCGGGATCCCCAGAGGTTTCCGTGTTTTCTGGGAGAACAAGGCATGTGACACACAGCCTCCTTAGGACATGGCTGTGCCTCTGGAGCCATTCCCAACAGCAATCAGGTGGTGGCTCTGCCCTCATTACAGGCCACTTAAATGAACAAAAAGTAGCCACCAAAAGTATTAGGAGATGGTCCCTCTCTCTCCATTAGGACAGAATGGATGAGATCTGGATTCAACCCTTTTTGCAGAAAGCAGTAATTATCAGTGCACGTGTCGTTCCTTTTCCAGTTCTCCGACTGCCAACCAGAATGTGCCATCAGGTAAGGCAAAGCCCCTTGCTTTCCTTGGGAGCAGTGAACGTGTTCCTGCTCTCTGCTCACAGAGAACACAAAGGGCTCCCCAGAAGAGCAGGAAGTGCCTCTGAAGAGCCCACACTTCCGAAGAAGCAGCAGGGACCCGGCAATGTCCCCAGATCAAAGCAGTTTTGCACCCAGGGTACAAAAACATGCATCAAAGTGAGCCCCACTCTGCTGACATGGCTTTGCACTGGGCTGAGATGTGATGCCAACTGACAGAGGATCAACAGCCTGGGTTTCTGGATGCCACCATCTCACCCACCAGCAGCAGCAACTCAGCTGTGCTTGCTAAGCACAAACACAAGCTGCTGCATGTGAGCCAGGGAAGTTCTCGGGGAAAAGGGTTACCCTCCTCGTGGGAGAAATAAAAACAGCTCAGTTATTGATGCTACAAAGAGCACAAGAAACCCCCAAAGCTGCTGTGCTGGTGCATCATCTCCAAGTGTGAAGGCGTGACCCAAAAGCTGCTCTGAGCCCACACCCTCCACCTCCTGTGAGTCTCCACCACACCCCTCCATCTTTCTGCCCCTCTTTACTCCAGATCAGACTCCCATCAGCTCGCCCCTGCCCTGCCCTGCCCCACCCCTCCTGCCCAGGCCCAGAGCCAGAACAGTGACACTCTCCTGGAGATCACACCTGGGCTGCTGGCTGGGCAGGATGTCTGCAGCGCTCATCTGCTTGAGTAAGATAAAGTTGGCTTGTCTGGAGGATGCATTTGGATGCTGTTGAGTTTGCTTTCTGCCTTCAAAGCTGGGAATTCACTTGCTAAGGGAGAATAACTCAACAGCAAAGGAATCAAGGACAGGTTTTGCTCTGAGCCAATGCCTTGGTCTGAAGATGACACCCAGCAGAGTGTCCCAATAGCACCACTCCCGAGTGCCTGACTTTCCTGGTCCTTTGGGACTGCAAAGCTCAAAGACTGACAACAACTAACAGGCCAAGTGCTGGTGCTGCCCCTGGATCAGGATAACCCCTGGGATCAATCCAGGCTGGGGATGAGCAGATGGAGCAGCCCAGGCAGAAGGCCCTGGGGGTGCTGGTGGGGCAGAGGCTGGACCTGCCCCGGCCCAGAAACCCCCCGTGCCCTGGGCTGATCCCCCAGCGTGGGCAGCAGGGCAGGGGGGGATTCTGCCCCTCTGCCCCTCAGGGGAGACCCCCCTGCAGAGCTGCTCCAGCCCTGGGAACAGCCCAGCAAGGACATGGAGCTGCTGGAGCCAGTCCAGAGGAGGCCCCAAGAGGATGAGAGGGCTGGAGCAGCTCTGCTGGGAGGAAAGGCTGGGAGAGTTGGGATTGTTCAGCCTGGAGAGGAGAAGCTTTGGGGTGACCTGATTGCAGACATAAAATTACCTCCCTACATGAAGGGAGCCTGCAAGAAAGATGGAGAGAGACTATTTCCAAGGGCCTGGAGTGCCAGGATGAGAGGGAATGGCTTCCCCCTGACAGAGGACAAGGTTAGATACGGGAAGAATGGGATATTGGGAAGGAATTGTTCCCTGTGAGGGTGGGGAGGCCCTGGCACAGGTTGCCCAGGGAAGCTGTGGCTGCCCCTGGATCCCTGGAAGTGTCCAAGGCCAGGTTGGACGGGGCTTGGAGCAACCTGGGCTAGTGGAAGGTGTCCCTGCCCATGGCAGGGGGTGGCACTGGATGGGCTTTAAGGTCCCTTCCAACCCAAACCATTCTATGATTCTATAATTATTTCTTCTCCTAAAACCACAGCTGGCCACCAGATAATAAGGGATGGCTGCAAACCAGCAGGAAGAGATCTTTGCTTGGAGATCCATTCCTTGAAAGTAAAGGAATGAGTTTGCATGGGAAAGAAAACAGAACACAAAATTCAAGGGTGACACCTTTTCCTCCCTGGACCATGGAATTGATATCACTGGTTTTTAAGGCGTTATACAGAGAGCTGAAACCTAGAACCACTCCTGACTTTTACAGCTGCAGGCAGGCAGTTCTGTATGATGGGAATTACCCCAAGGCTCAGACTGGCCACGGGAGCAGTTTCTTCACTCCTGAGAAGACCAGGTAGTAGCATACACTCAGCCAGGGATGCAGTAAACTATGGTTTTTCTGCCCTTTGACTGCTAAAGAAATATATCACCATTAATTGCAATTACAGGCCACCAAAGCACTGAGGAGCAGGAAGGATTGATAAGAAAAAAGGTGCTTTCATAAGAGGTTGGTGCATTAACTTCCTCAGTCATTTGGAACGTTGCTTGGGTGGGAAATTGAGAGACACCTCTATGGAAAATCCACAGCTGAAGCAGAAATAAAGAACTTGTTCAGGACAGGACTAATTTGACTGCACTCTCTGTAAGAGAACAAAAAAATGCTACTGAATGGAAACATGAGTCATGAAATAACCACCCTCAACATCACCCCACTTGAAAATGGAAAGAAACAAAAAAGATAAAGGAGAAGGGGAGAGAGAACAATCTGATAATGTTGCATTTGGAACAGGTATGTTTGTAAATGCTTTTGGCTTCTAATTTAAACACAAACAAGAATGAAAAAGAAAATGACAATATTGTGGAGGATGAAAATGGTAACATGGCTGTTGTGTAAATGCTTTGTCCATGGTTCTGGGATATGAACTGGACTTGTCCTGACTCCTTATAGAGTGATATCTCATTAATGAGATTATCCATGTCTTAACAGACACATAGAAAAAAATCCCGTGAAACCATTCAAATGACATAACTGAACAATTTAATGTTCAAACCAACTTAAGACACTATTTTCTGAAAACTGCACTGTAAGTAGTTCCATGCTGGTTTTGTTGTAACAGATGATGTGCTAGGAATTATTGTGGTAGATGTGCCTCATATAAACTATGGAATTATGTTGGAGTATTTGCATTTTATCCCCTCTGGACCTGTTTTCAACCTGAAATCCAAATTCCTTCTCTGTGCTGCTCTTGAAACGCTTACTTACCAATTTAGTCCAGCCTTGTAAAATTACAAAGCCCCCGGAATAATTTTTGAGGAACCATTTAAATCTAAAAGACCCACACTTAAACAAATGATAAAACCAGTTTTGTTTGTCTCACTGCTCCTGAAAACTACTGTTTTATAGTGGTGTCCTCTTTTCTAAAACAATAGCCAGCGTTTAGCTTCACCTTTGTGCACAAACTGGGGTTTAACCTGAGCCCTTCCCAGCACAGCTCCATGAGCAGTGAAATGCACGTGCAGTCATTAAGAGTTTGTTTACCTGCTCCACGGTACTGGCAATTAAAATGAGGTGCAATGGGGTTTCCACCTCTGCACTGGGGAGATTGTCCTCTGAATCACCATGGAATTTGCTCCCTCTTCCTTCACACCCTTCAGTGTGGCTCACACACAAGGGTCTCGTGATGGAATCCCCAGCAGAACAACCGAGTGCGTTACCTGTCAAGTGAGATGGATTTGAGGACAGCTGGTGGTGTTCAGACATCACAAATCCAACCCTGGATTATCTTTATGAAACAAACGGCACAAAATCCCCCCCCGTCCACAGTTCTTGCTCTATACCCTGAAAGTTGCCATTCTGCTTGATAAGAGGTAACCTTTCACACACTACAGAGGGTCAAGCCAAAGCCTCCAAGAAGATAATGTAGTTTGCAGTCATACTTTTCCTTTCCCAAAGCCAGCAGGAAACGTGCCAAGTAGCCCTGCACAGTATCACTGGGAGACAGCTAAGTCTGCTTAGCTTTGAGAGCCCAGAACTTTGCCCAGAAGCTTTAAAACTTACTTATTCCCATATTTTCTACCATGAAAATTTATTTATTCAGTGCAAGTTGTCAACTGTATAAGCAACAGCCTGACTGTGTAGGCAGGGAGTGAAATCTGACTGTGTAAAACATAGGTCTCCCCAGGACATCCTGTGGGCCAAAAGCTAAGCCTTTCTCATGAGACTGGAGATGTTTTTGTTAACAACAAGGCTCGCTTTTTGCTACAGACAACTCTGTTTCCTTAGCTACAAACTGTTACCTATTCAGAAGTGAGGGTTTATGTGAAAACGGGTATAATCAGCACTGGGGATGTTTTGCTTATGCTTTTGCCCAAATGGTTTTATAACCTGATGTGTCACCAGCGTGCTCAGGCTTTTCCACAGGACGACTCTTTTTATTCTTTGCTTTTCTAAGCCTCTCTAAGCTTTTCTGGATAGATTATCACAATGCCTTCATTCCATGCTGCCAGCGATGCCACGGGATGGGATTGAGTATCTGCAGGGAGGGGGCAGAGGATGGAGCAGGCTCTGCTCAGGGGGCCCAGCAATGGCACAAGAGGAACGGGCAGGAACTGATGCCCAGGAAGTTCCAGCTGGACAGGAGGAAGAATCTGTGCAGTGACCAAGCAGTGAACAGGCTGCCCAGAGAGGGTGTGGAGTCTCCTCACTGGAGATATTCCAGAGCTGTCTGGACACACTCCCGTGCCCTGTGCTCTGGGATGGCCCTGTTGGAGCAGGGAGGTGGGACCAGATGCCTCACTGTGGTCCCTTCCAGCCTGACCCAATCTGATCCTGTGATTATTACCAATATTGGTGGCTCTCTGGATACCTGTCCTGGCTGGAAGCATCCCTGGCTGCAAACTCTGTGCTGGCACTCGTTTTTCCACTGCTCCATATTTCCACCTGTTCCTGCTGGGAACACAAAAACCATGTTAAACAAAGTTGGACTCCTCTGAGGAGGCTCAGGGATGTGTCTTACCATTGTCTGCAACTCGCTGACAGGAGGGTGGAGTTCCCTTGTTCCCTGGGAGCAGAGCCCAAAGGACAGGACAAGAGGAAACAGCCTTAAGCTGTGCCAGGGGAGGGTCAGGTTGGACAGGAGGAGGAATTTGTTGCTGGAAAGGGTGGTGAGGCCTTGGCAGGGGCTGCCCAGGGAGGTTTGGAGTGCCCAGCCCAGGAGGTGTCCAGGGAAGGCCTGGCCGTGGCACTCAGTGCTCTGGGCTGGGTGATAAGGGGGGGATCAGGCACAGGTTGGACTTGATCGTCTTGGAGGTCTTCTTCAACCTAAATGATCCTGTGATTCAATGATCCATATGGATCCCTTCCAACTCAGGATATTGATTCTATGATTCTACTGAAAAAGCCACATGCCCCACACTGCCAACCCCTGCAGCAGTGACACACAGTCCCCTCACAGCATCACTGCCTGTATTTTGAGTGCAATCCAACTGCTTTTTGGCAAAAAAGGGGCCAAAAACACCCTCGAAAGCCCCTTCTTGAGTTAGCTTACCCATGTTGGAGGACAAAGTGGGCTCTGAGGGAAGATGTAGCCTCTGGCAACATTCCTGGTTTGGGATGAAATTTTATCATGGAAAAGCACAAAGAAAGAGAACGTGCTGACTTTTAAAAAAATCTATCAAAGCCAAGGCTTTTCTGATGCTGGAGATAGGCACACCTTATCTGAAGTTTTCACACAGCTCTGAGAAACAGAGATAGCTCTAAAGTTTACTTCCACATCCCCACTTGCCCGATTTCCAGCATGGCCCAGGTCCAGGGTTTTGCTGAGGCTTACGTCTTAATATTTAGCTAATTTAAATGCTAATTAGACTAATTTGTTGAATAAAACATGGTAGGGATTTCTTAACAAGTTTCTGCTACTGCTTTACATCTACAGAGAGATTTTCTGAAACAGGACACCAGGGACAGTACCACAGTACCAGGGACAGTTTGACAGTACCAGTCAAACAAGTTGGATTTTCTGTAATCCTAAATATATTGCAGAACTGCAGGGAAGATGGAGGAGCAGTATTAAATTCTTGAGACCTAGCACATCTGGGACACAGGAGCCCATCTGCCCCATGGGGTTTGCTTTGAGTTTTATATGCAAAGAAAACGTACCTTTTCTCTGCCTCTCATTCCTTACTGCAGTCGATCCAGTTGCTCTGCCTGGCGTTATTGGCGCCTGCACAGAGACAATAAACCTTTCCCCTCATGTCTGATACTGCGGGTAAACCTCTATGGGTTTACGGAGCTCCCTGCAGTCCGCGAGGCTCCACAGAGGCAAAGGAAGTACGAAAATAGGCCTGACGGCTCATGGCTCCCCTCAGGGGTCCCGCCACTCCCTCGCCGGGTGCGAGTGTCCCGGGCTGAGGCGGGAGAAGCCGTGAAGGGACAGCTCTGTACGAGACCCCGGGCTGAGGGGCGGCTCCTGAGGCGGGTGAAGCCGGGAGGTGGGCGGCTCTGCTTCGCTCCGCCGGAGTACGAGACCCCCAGGCTGAGGCGACCTGTGAAGGGGCGGGTGAAGCCATGAGGGGTTGGCTCGGCTCGGCTCGGCTCGGCTCGGCTCGGCTCGGCTCGGCTCGGCCTCGGTACGAAACCCCCAGACTGAGGCGGGTGAAGCCCTGAGGGGGCGGTTCCTTCACCTGGCTGTGAGTGTTCGGGGCTGGGGCGGTCCCGGGGGAGGGTGCAGCCGTGGGGGCGCGGCTCCGCTCCTCCCGGCTATAAGAGCCCCGGGCTGGGGCGGTGCCTCCCGCGGGTGAAGCCGTGAGGAGGCGCCGCCGCTCCGCCTCTTCCTGCGGCAGTCGCCGCCATGGCGCCGTGCCGGGCAGCCGCCCCTCTCCTCCTGCTGCTCCTCGTCCTGCGGCCGGCGAGCGCGGGCTTGAGCGGCTACTTCGGCACCAAGTCCCGCTACGAGGAGGTGAACCCGCACCTGGTGCGCGACCCGCTGTCGCTGGGTCCCGGCGCGATCGAGTCGCCGCCCGTCACCTGCGCTCCGCTGCAGCTCCGCGCCGTGCTCCGGCACGGCACCCGCTACCCCACGGCCGGGCAGGTCCGCCGGCTGGGCGAGCTGCACGCCCGGCTGCTCCGCCGGCCCGCGGAGCCCGCAGCCTGCCCCGCCGCCGCCGCGCTGGCCGCCTGGCCCATGTGGTACGAGGAGAGCCTGGACGGGCGGCTGGCGCCGCAGGGCCGGCGCGACATGGAGCAGCTGGCCCGCCGCCTGGCCGCCCGCTTCCCCGCGCTCTTCGCCGCCCGCCGCCGCCTGGCGCTGGCCAGCAGCTCCAAGCACCGCTGCCTGCAGAGCGGGGCCGCCTTCCGCCGCGGGCTCGGGCCCGACCTCAGCCTCGGCGGCGACGGTGAGTCCGGCACACCCGACCCCGTTCCCTGCGAGAGCCCCGCGCCCTCCTAGAAGGTCAAGGGAGTCCCACACCCTCCCTGAGGGATTCCCAGCTCTCCCGAGGGGGTTGAGGGGCTCCTGTGCTCTCACCGAAGGAGCCCCCCCTGCTCCCAGAGGGAGACCCGTGCCCTGACTGAGGGATTCCCGTGTCCTCCCAGTGGGGCTGGGGAAGTCCCTGGGAGGCCTTCCCTGAGGGATTCCCGTCTCTCCCCAAGGGGATGGGGCTGTCCCGTACCCTCCCAGAAGGAGAGAGGCTGAGGACTCAAAGAGGGTCTCAAGACAAGAGGGCATGGTCTCAAGACAAGAGGGCATGGTCTCAAGACAAGAGGGCATGGTCTCAAGACAAGAGGGCATGGTCTCAAGACAAGAGGGCATGGTCTCAAGACAAGAGGGCATGGTCTCAAGACAAGAGGGCATGGTCTCAAGACGTGCCAGGGGAGGTTTAGGTTAGATATTAGAAAGAATTTCTTTACAGAGGGGGTGGTCAGACATTGGAATGGGCTGCCCAGGGAAGGAGTGGATTCTCTGCGCCTAGGGATTTTTAAAAAGAGACTGGATGTGGCACTTAGTGCCATGGTCTAGTAACCGCAGTGGTAGTGGATCAAGGGTTGGACTTGATGATCTCGAAGGTCCCTTCCAACCCAGCTGATTCTATGATTCTAGGGGCTGGCAGAGTCCTGTGCCCACCCTGAGGGAGCTGCATGTTCCCCTCCGAGAAACTCCCAAGCCCTCCTTGAGGGATTCCCGGTTCTGCCAAAGGACCTGGGGGAGTTCCATGCCCTCCATGAGGGAGCCCCCAGCACTCCCTGAGTAGCTGAGGGAGATGCATGGCCTCGCTGAGGGATTTCCAACTCTCCCAAAGGAGCTGGAGGAGCCCCACGCCCTTCCTGAGGGGTTGCAGGTGTCCCATGCCCTCCCTGAGGGGCTGGAGGAGCCCTATGCCCTCCCCGCTGGCCCGTGGCTGCGGGAAGCCGCGAGCCCAATGCCATGTCCCCCATGCCCAGGCTGAGGGGACCCCGCACTCTGCGTGCCCTCCGTGGGACACTGCAGTGGTGGGCAGACTGTCCCCAGGAGGGTGTCGGGGTGGCCGGGCGCTGGCGCCCTTGGGGATGGCGGTGCTTCTCCTGATGCCCCCGTTTGCTTTCAGAGGTGGAGGTCCAAGTGAACGATTCCTTGATGCGGTTTTTTGATCACTGCGCCAAGTTTGTAGCCCTGGTGGAGGAGAACGATGCGGCCATGTGCCAGGTGAGCGCCTTCAAAGAGGGGCCCGAGATGAAGAAGGTCTTGGAGAAGGTCGCGAGTGCCTTGTGTTTGCCGGTGGAGGAGCTAAATGCAGGTAAGGGATTCCTGTTACAGGTGACTTTGGCTCCGAGTCTGGCCCAGAACAACTTCCAAGACTTATAGTTATGCAGAGTAGGTAATTTAGAGTGTGCTGTAAGTTGGAGACGCAGCCTCTAATTAAATGCGTGAGGCTGTAAGTGTATGTTGGTGTTGCAGTAATGAATGGTTGTTAGTTACTGGTCAGAAGATGATGTTTGAAAACACCTCTCCCTTAGATTGAACCAACTTTACCTTTGTTTGGAGGGATTTGAGTGTTATTCTTTTAATTCTGCTTTCTGGAGCAGGCAAGTTGAGAGAAAGTTGCTACTTGTGTAGCAGTGCTTTATCTTTTGCTTGTTTGTTGGATTTGTTGCAGATCTTGTTCAAGTGGCTTTTCTCACCTGCTCTTATGAGTTGGCTATAAAAAATGTGACCTCCCCGTGGTGTTCACTCTTCACTGAAGAAGATGCCAAGGTATGTGGGGCTCAGAGCAACCTGGAATAGTGGAAGGTGTCCCTGCCCATGGCAAGGTGTTGGAATTAGATAATCTTTAAGGTCCTTTCAAACCCAAACCATTCTATAATGCACTAAAAGGGAGAGATTTGAGAAGCCTTCAAAAGATGCCGTAATGTTCAGATTTAACTCTTTGCACAGTCAGAAGTTGTGTTTTGTTAAGTCAAGAGGCACAAAACTTACTTTGTTCTCCAAAGAGCTCTGAATTAATCAAGCAGCGAGACTGAAATATCCTTTATTCAGACTTGAGTGCTGGTGCAGTCTTGATTTGTCCTGATATAAAGTGTCTTTTCCTGTTGTGCTTAATTCGTATCATACTTATTTCTGTGAAATCAGAAAAACTCTGGACAGCTTTCATATGATAAAATTTATTCCAGATAGAATGATAGAATTTATTCTAGAGGACATCAAATGAAGTCTTCTAGGGTCTCTTAAGACTCTTTTTATATGGTTTTGGGGACTATCAGATACCTAAATCAAATGCCTGTTAATAAAACCCAGTAGAACCCAGATAAATGAGACAAATGTTTGTTCTTCACCTTTCAAAAAGTGTTTGATGTACTCTTTGATGTTCTGTAAGGCTTCTCTGAGGCTGTTAAGGAAATTTCCACCCTTAGGAAAGCGAGGAGATGTACATGGGTAGGTTGGCTAAAGGGTAGGCAGTGGAGTCAGGAGGATCAGGATCACCATGAGCTTCTGCTGAGACCCACTCTGTTAGATGTGTTTATAAATAGCTCAGCAGCGAGGTGGGAAACAACTTTGATGGCAGGAATTGTAAGCAAAGGCACAGAGAACAGGGAGAGCACCGTGTGCTCCTGCATAAATCCAAGGCACAGTTGTGTCTGTTTGAGGTGTGTGCACATCTCCAGAATGTCAAACCAGAGAAGCTCAGCTAAAGGCGTGGGATGGCTTCTGTGGGAAGGGTGGTGAGCTCAAGGCACAATCAGAAATGCTAAAAAAGCGGTGGATAGTGGTTGTCTTGTGATGTGCAGCACCTCACCTGGCTGTGAGGGTGGTCACAAGCTGAATGTGATGGCTCTTCAGCCTGATCTATTTTTTTAGATCTCCTTTTATGCTGAAGTTTCAACTGGAGCCTGCATGTTTGGGGTTGATTTTGTGTCAGCTTCATCCATTTCTTTCAGTGTGTGGCAACATCATTGCTCCAGGTTGGGGGGCTTGTTTTCCCTCAGAGCTCACAGGTGTTTATTATTGCACTACTTTAGGTCCTGGAATACCTGAATGACCTGAAGCAGTACTGGAAGAGAGGGTATGGCTATGACATCAATAGTCGCTCCAGCTGCATTTTATTCCAGGATATCTTCCAGCATTTGGACAAAGCAGTGGAAGAGAGCAAAAGGTAAATCAAAAGGCTTCAGTGCTTTGGGTGTGAGTTTTCTGTGGTCAGTCCTGAGCTGGATATCATGTGAATAGAAGCTCAGTACTTTACTTCCAAATATGACAATATTAGGAGAGTTTGAGAATTTTAAGAGATAATGCAATTTTTAAGGGAACAGTATTACTTTGAAGTGTATATATTTTTTTTCATTGATGCTCTTGTGCCCAGCTCCTGTAATTCCATCTTTTAACTTGCTGATCTGCAGAGGCCTTTGTGGACAGCCAGCTGCTGTCTGACAGTGGTGTTCTCTTCCTACACAGTTTGAGGAGAGACCATTGAGTTGAAGCAATGAGGTTGTTTTGTTTAAAGTGTCCTTGTTAAAAATCATTTGTGGCAGAAATGGCAAACTGTGGACTGAAAGCACCCTGATAACACATTGTGACAGTCTGTCTGTCTGTCTGCCTCTGTTTGGCTTGAGTCTCTTGTGTTACTAAACCTTTCTGTTCACATTAAAGGCGTTGAAATGCAATTACAGAAAATAATTGTTACAGATCAATCCCAACAGTGACTTTTAGACCAGAACAGGCTGTTGCAGGATCCAAGAGGCTGGAGAGGGAACTGCAAACCAGCCTTCTTGTAACCTGCTTTGTTGGAACTAGGGAAGGGCAGACTTTAGGGGATACACTCAGTGTCTTGTAAGAAGAGGAAAAAGACACTTCTCCTGAAATTGGGTTCACATGACAAATCAAGCCATTTACAGCACAGTCAGTAGTTCAGCCCATCAGTCTGAGACCTCTGCCTCGGGTATTTAGTTTCCCACTGTTTAGGATGTTTAGTTTCCCATCCTCTCACAGCAAAGACATAGTTTGGGAGCAGCACTGGAGCTGTAGGAAGATATTAGGCTTTACAAGCAACTGTTAGTAGACTCGAAGATGCAATACCCAGGTGCCCTCAAAGGGTGGTGCCCTGATAAAGTCATTTGTCTTGGATTATTCCCAGGATTTGACAAGCCACTCTGTGTCAGTGGAAGAACAGTAGCAGTGGCACTGCAACCACTGTGTTGTGCAGTCCTCAAAACTGCCTTTGTAGTGTCATGGACCTGACTATCCCTGTGCTTGCTCAAAAATGACAGGGGAGATGCCTGTGCTATTTTCGGGTGGTGTTCACTCCTCTGAGCCTGTAGCAGTTGGGGTTTGGCAGCTGTTTGGTGTTGCTCTTGTCTCGTGTGGATTGGTTTGATGGGGAGAAGTAAAACAGGGACAAGACTGGGATCAGTTTTGATTCAGTTACAGGTTGGGATGTCTGTGTCACAGAATCACCTGCATTTGCTTACGTGTGCTGATAACTTCTTTTGAGAAAGCTGCTTTAAATGGTAATTTATGATCTGTGTGCATGTTCCTCTTGCCAACTGAACAATTACAAATTCATAGTTCAGTGATCAGTCACATGAATTAATACCTTGGCAGATTAGTATGGAAATGCTGGAAAAAAGTACATGATATCAAGGATATGACCATTAGATTGTATAAATACTGTGGCGTTAAATACTTGCTAAAAATTCATAAGTAACTTTGAATTGCAACCAGCAAATTCAGCTTTGGGGTTGATATGTAAGCATTGGACCCCTCTAGAGCCAAGCTGGGTTGAGGAATTGTGCTGTGTTGTCTGGAAGTGGAAGGTTGGTGTGGGAGTGGTGAAACCTTGTTGGTAGTGATGGAGTTAAAGCAGTGGTTGTGCTACACCACTGTTTATTTAAACTCCTTCATCCTTTCTTAACACCCTGTTGGGAACAGAGGATTGCTGTGTCTGTCAGGATGACCAGGAAGAAGTGCAGGTTAACAGATAAACAGAAAAGGAAGGCCCTTAGCCTGCTCTGTCCTTCTGAAATCTGGGGAAAAAAAATAAAAAAAACCCAAAACAACAAAACCAACCCTGAATCACAGACTTGTTAAGCACAGAAAGGCCCTTGAGATCACTGAGCCATGTCCCCAGGTGCCACATCCAGATGTGAGGATGTACCTTGAGTCATCAATTTTGTTTCCTTTCAGTGGAATTTACTCTTTGAACAGTGACAGCCTTTCCATCCTTATATTCCATGCACTGGTCACAGCTGTGTGTAAGACATCCCTGTAAGTTAAATAGTAATTTAAAACCCCCCAAAAAGCTGTAAGAAAATGTTGTTATTTCCTGAGCACTGGGTCAGCAGTGCTGCATTAGGAGCTGGGAAGAGCAGACGTTTAAGGTATCCAAAGGAATGGTGTAACTGCATCCTGCCTTCCAGCCTTGGCTGGGGAAGTTCAGTTGCAGTCCCTGGGGCTCTCGTGGTGTTTTACCACCACAGAGGGAAGCGGGCAGTGAGTGTGAAGGGTCGGGACCCTAAATCTTGCAGCGTTCCGAGCTGGGTGAGCGGCCTCGAGGATGAGCATCCTCCTGAGCAGGAGGCGGCGGCTCCCGGGCTGCGGAGCCGGGCGCTGGAGGAGCGTGTCACTCCGCTCCACGACGGAAGGTGGCAGTCGCAAAGCACCGGAGCCACGGGAGTAACCTGGGTTGGGTAACCCTGCAGGGGATGTGGGAATCTGCCGCGGTGTTGGAACGCCTTGTCTCTCTTGGGATCTAGGGAGCGGAGGTGCGGCTAATCCTTTTCCATCTGGGAGAGAGACTTAGCCCAGGTGCCGCGGCCACGTGAGAGTACAGATGAAAACAAAATGTACAACACCAGTGTTAATAACAGAAAATATTTGTGTGTGAGCATCTCTTCTTTCTCTTTACGGTGGTGTTCAACTTCAGGGCAACGGGTTAAATATTTTTGCAGCAATTCCTTACTCAGAAAATGACCTGTTGTGATGACAAAATGTCTCTTAGAGGAATGCTGTTCCAATTTGACAGTGTTTAACATTGATTTGTATCTGGCTGTTTGCTCTAAAAATTTAAGAACAGGAAATTTACTTCCAATTGCCCCAAGATCTCTTTTCTTTCTGGAAAGCTTAGACTGGGCTATCCAAAAGTAGAAAGAGAAGCATTTGTGTTCCAGCAAGAAGCTGAGGGATCTGGATTATCTGTTCTGCTCCAGGCTTGGCAGTAGAGAACAGTGTTGGCAAGGCTGTATTTTTGTAGAATACTTTATGTATTTCTGTTGAATAGCTTTGTCCTGTTTTCATTCCCAGTTACTACAGAATTAAAAAGAGCAACGTTGCTTTTATTGTAACCCTTTTTCTTCCATTAAGTGGTTGCTGGCCTTGCAACCTGCTCACCTTCTTACCAGTCTGTAAGGAAGTGTCATGAGCCCATTTCTAGGGAGAGGTTGGGGAGCAGGGCTCTCTTCCATACAAATTTTCTTAAGTACAAAAAAAATGTATTAATTAAATGTACCACAAGATTTGCACATAAAATGAAGGCAGGTGATTTGCTGTGCTGAAATGGCATTCTTGGGCAGTGTCTTAGTCCATAAAGCACTTTACTTCTGTGAAGGCATAAGAACTGTGGTTTTACCAAGTCTTCCTCTTAGGGATAGAAAATAGTCAGGCTATGCAACTATGTGGCAAAGAAGTTAACTGGGAATTCTTCCTCACTTTTGATTTTCCCAGCAGTTTAGTGAAGATATTCTGCCAACAGTGTGTGTTGATGAGAAATGTGTGTTTTGGTAGTTAATGTAATATGAAGCTGCTAATCTGATTTTAAAAGCCTTTGCAGCCACACACTTGGGCAAGGGTGGATTTGCAAATGGGTCGTGGCACAATTTAAACATATCAACTATTCACTATAACTGTTTTAAACTTTTTTTTTTCCTTTCTAGCTTCAAATATTTAACAATTCTGCCTTTCTTGCTCGTGAAAGAATATGAAATCCCAGTTATTATGGATTGCCATAAGGATCTGGAAATTGGGAGGCATGCTTTGGGCAGCCTTCTCAGTATTTATAGTATGGATGGAAAATACCAACCAGGCTACACATATACATTGCAAAATATTTGGGGGTTTCCTCTGAGTGAAAGCAGGTTCAAGGTATTTAAAAAAAAAAAAGACCTATTTGAATGTAGTTCAAGGTTAACTGAAGGTGATCTTTGTGAGTTATACCAGGCTAAGCTGTAAGGTAAACAGACTAATTTGGCAATTTACCGGTAGTTTTTATTGTTCCCTGTAATTTGCCATCCTCTCTCAGGTCACTTCCCCACGCAATTGGTCACCTGTCAGTAGTCACTGACTGCTGTGTTCTCATTGCTCCTCCAAACCTGTGACTCAGTGCAAAAGAACACAATGCGTGATCGAAAATCACTTTATTATTCAAAACTCTTTTTATAGCCTGTACAAAGGGACCAAGGCCAAAGCTTCCCAAAAGGGAAGTAGAAATGAAATAATTTAAAGAACCCTTTTGTTCAGATCCGAATTGTTCCATCATTTCTTTTGCTAAAACCCCTTTGTTGCTGCTGGGATCCCACGTTTGCACAGTGCAGGGCTGTGGCTCTGGGTGCATCAGCAGGTTCAGGCTGTCCTGTGAGCTGTTCCTCTGTCTGCCTAGCACTAGATATTTCAAGTGTTTCTTGGGCCTTTCAGTCTCCCCAGGATGTGCTTAAATCTCTCCTTAGTCACCCAATAAAGTGCTTGCTCAGGACTGCTCTGAAAAAGTATCTCAGCGACTTTTATAGAGTTGTATCCTTTCATGTAAGCAATTAAAAGCCCAAACAAAACAGTAACAAAACTAACACACCAAGGGACTGATCTAAGCAGTGTCCACCTTGGGCAGGAAGTGGCAAGACCCTCTTGGTTTGGTTTGGGCTCGTTATAGTGAATCAACACTCGGCATCAGTGTGCTGCTGGTGCACTAATGCATCTCATCTCTGAGGTGTGAGAGAACAGAGAGGTGGGATCAGCCGAAAAAACAGCCTTTGGAAGTGCAGAAGCTCTGAAGTGAAACCCAGTAAAGCCTAATTAGCTGAGTGGTTAACTCTTTCAGGACTCGATAAGAGCTGTTGGTTTTTAATGAGCTGTTCCAGTTTGCCTTTGTCATGAGTGAGCTCGTGTGGC